TAACTCTTTTTTTCACTCTTGCTATTCTTTAGTATGACTGGTTTTGTTGACCGATTTTCCTGAATCCCTTCGTAATTTAACGTGAGCAGAAAATTATTTTCGAGATTGGGCCCTGATTTCCGAACGGCTCCAAGAGTAACACAACGAACGTCAGACAACTCGCCTTCTGGACAACTAGCCCCAAACGATTAGCCCCCCAGTCTTTGGACGAGTAGCACCCAGTCTTAGTTAATGTAAAGGAGAAGTTACGTTCATCTGTTGGTCAGTGACATATGATGAGTTTGTGGCTCCTAAAGGAGCTTTTTTTTGTGAATGGACATCTTTATTAAAATTTACTTAATTTTTACTTAATTTAATTTACATGGGTTGCACGAGATGAGCACAGGCCTCCAGAAGTTCTTTTGAGTTCCTTTTGCCGTCTTCATATTGAATCCAGAGGTCGAAGTGTCTTCTCTGTATTGTTCGGTAGGCTGAGCGCTGATGTCTCTTCAGCTTTTTGTCTGAAACCAGACGTATCTGCATGTTGACCAGTGTAGCTTCCCGGTGAAGTACCTGGATCAGGATGTACAGGGGCAGCTGTGGTCGTCCTTTGGTGCGCCGGTTAAGGCCATTGTGCCAACCCTCTAGGTCGTTATTCTTTCTTACCGCTTCCCGGAACACGCTCTAGGTCTGTGTCTGGAAGGTCTGACTGGTTATCCAGTTTTCATCTACGTAACTGCAGAAATTCTGCAAGGGTTTGACAGTTGCTTGGTGCTGGAGTCGACGGAATCTGCGTTCGATCTTGTCAGCAGGGAGGTACGATAAAGCCATCAGTTGCTTTATTAGCTGGTGGGCTGGTGGGTGCCGCGGTCATTTCTGTGGGCATCCTGGAGTCCAAGCCCTTGCACCTATAGTAGAAAGGCGAAATTAATATTTTGTTAGTTGTATGTGAAACTAGTTTCGTTTTAAACATTGCGCGAAATTCATTTTTATTTGCTTTATCTGTCGTCCTAGTGAACCCTTTCAACACTTCTAACTATAGCTTGAATAAAGTGAATCATTGCCGATTTGTTTGACCAATCAAGGATTTAACAGTTTGAGATCGTACCTTTCTCCATAGGGCTTCATAATGTCTCACGTCAAATTTACYTATTAAGTTCGCACATTGCGCCTGGGTTTGAAATAAACATTAAAATACCAATTAGTAAAAGTTCGCACATTTTGCGTGGCTTTGAAATAAACAACAATGAATAAAATTTTGCACCTTGCGCATGGGTTTGAAATAAGCAAACAACAGTGAGTAAACGTTCGCACATTGCGCATGGGTTTTCAATAAACAAGTAAATAATAATTAGTAAAAGTTCGCATAATGTGCGTGGCGAGTTTGAAATAAACCCCCATTGACATTAACAAGTAGTCGCCA